TGAGTTTGGTTTAAAAAGAAAAAGACACAAAGAAACATGTACTCATTGCAACTGATATAATATGTCAAAAGCTTGATGTCTAACATATAATCCAAAAATAATACAAAAGTGAACAAGTGAAAATAAGAATATTGATGATTGTATTAAAAATTTTCAACTTAAAGCTACAAAATATAAAAAGATGATTGAATGAATTTCTTTTGGTAAATTAGACAATATTCAAAAAATTAATAATAAGTTTTCAGTAATCTGGTTAGATGATATACTCAAGGTAGAAAAAAGTTGCAAAGAAAGATCTTTTGCCTTTAACTGCTATATAAATAAAAGAATATATTTTGCGAATACATGCATGTATGGTGTAATATCCACCTTCTGATAAAGCCCAAAATTTTGCGACAAATTTATATAACCTTGACTTGGGCAGCAAAAGTCTTGAACCCAATTTTCTACATCAACTTTATACTGACAGATTTCTTGATCTGAAAGTTGCGATTGTTATAAGACATTGTATAACTAGTAAAATTCATGCCACAATTGTTCAATCTTATTTCTACGTACACCAGAAATGAACCGAGTTACTGGAAATTTTTCCAACATTTTTTTTTTGTCTGAACCTACTAATGAAGTCCAACTCCATTTGTTACTAGATTTAAAAAATTCAAATGTAATTGTAAGATCTTTGAACACCGTTTTAACAATTAGCTTAATATGTTTCTCAAACTCTTTTTTTTTATACAAATCGTTAAAAAGACATTCCATCAAAACATCTGAAATGCGCAAAAGCAAATGCAACTCATCAGGAATATAATTTTCCTGATGAATTGCTGAAAACAGAGTAGGTTTTTTCTTACTTAATTAAAAAAATAATTTTATATATAAGTTAGTATTCATTATATATATAACAAAAAAAACTAGCAGTGCCTGTAGTCTGTCAATCTGACTAAGCTAATGTTTAAAAATTAGTTAGTCAACTATATCAAGTTGATTATCTGTAATAAACATTTCCCAGATAACACAATTAAGATTCCTCACTCAGTCTATTCTTACTATCTTAAGTTGTTTGATAAAAATATAAACTTTCAGTTGTTTGTCTCCACTTATTAACTAATATCCCTAGATATATTTTGAAACCTACATATTTTTAAGTTTAGTTCTCTAAAATATCTTATATAAACCACCAAGAGAAAACCTGTCATCGGGCTTTCAATTGTATTTTATACCAAACACAATTGCTAAAAATCTGATAAACTAAGTTTGATAAACAATAAACTTGAAAGCGCAATGAAGGTTTTCTCTTGGCAGCACTCATAAGTGTCGTGTCTGAAGTTGCAATCTCAGACATCATTATATTTGCCTAAAACTACCTGCTAATATGTGCAAGAT